AAGAGGCAAAAGCAGCACTGGAACACGCAGCGGACAAGATGGCCCGCTATTATGACCGAGACCGTGAGGCAGCCCCAAAGTACCAAGAGGGTGACCAGGTCTGGCTTAGAGCCCAGAATTACACAACGGACTGGCCGACCAAGAAGTTGGACCACAAATGGCTAGGCCCCTTCAAGATTATTAAAGTCGTCTCCCCAGCCACTGTTAAACTCCAACTCACCACACGACAAAAGGGAGTCCACCCAGTCGTGTCCATGACGAACATCAGACTGCACCACCCAGACGAGATTGCAGAATGACCTCCCGACCCCCACCCAGGCCCAGAACTTGTAGACAGAAAGGAGGAGTATGAGGTGGAGAAAATATTGGACTCCAAGTGGCTACGCCGGAGACTTTGGTATTTGGTAAAGTTCACTGGCTGGCCGGACTCAGAAAATGAATGGCTTCCCCATGACCAACTAACCCACGCCCCCGACCGAATTAAGGAGTTCCACCAGATGCACCCCCATGCCCCAGGGAGGGAAAGGGAAAACCCTCTGGCTGCAGCGAAGCAGCTTAAGGGGGGGTGATGTCAGGGCACACCTGCCTCACCCGGCTCCACCTGGCTCCACCCGGCTCCACTCCACCCGCTACCCCCTTCTCCCCCTTCCTATCTCCTCCTCCCTCCACTTCCCCCTCCTCTTATTTCTTCTCTGTCTCATTCTCTATTCTTTCTATTTCTATTTACATGGACAACTTCCCTTGATCGATGTACTACTAACCTGCCCACGACCCATGCACGACGCACCCAACCCCAGATGCTCTGGACGACCCCCAGGTACACCCAGCACATGCGCCTGCAGCGGATCCCTTTGGGATCCCCCATGGGGATACCCGGGTGGCTGCCAGGGACAGCTCCGAAAGCGGCGAGGTCCCTGCACGCGGGACTTGGTGGGACGAGTAGCGGCTGTGTGTAGCGGCGATCCCATCATGGGGTGAGCGTCCCTGACCACTTAAGCTGAAGTGGGAAGTTGAGAAGAAGGCTGCTTCTTCTGTTCCCACCCCAGGCACTTGTTAGAACCCAGCGGATACAGACGACTCCGGAGTGGAATCGGAGACTTAGCGTGGAGGGACCTTTGCCTCAGCGACTCAAGCGGAGCGCTGTGCCATTGCTGTTTGTCCATTTGGTCCTTAATTTCACAGTAGGTGAGCAGGAAGTCTCTAGGGGGCATTTCAGGTTGGTTTCGGACTGAACCAAAACGAGTATGTACAAGCGCCGATATATATAATGGAGGGGGCAAAAGCACAAGGAAACAAAGGGAAACCAAATCGGAACGAAGACGTCCGAATGGGAACAAAGGGTAAAAGAAGCGGAGCGGTACCGAAGGTCATAAGGCAGGACCTGTGATACGTCCGAAAGGAGGTAGGGAGGGCGAGGCCCAGAGGGGCAGGAGGATGAGGAGAAGTGGGGGTGATGACTAACTGGCTAGAATGGGAAGAAGCAGTAGTCCAAATAGGGATGAGGGGAAAACACGAGAGATACATTACAAGCGGCAAAAGTGCCGAAGGCGATCCGCGAAGCTCGGAGGTTGCGGAGGTTACGGAGGTTATGGAGGCAGGGTTGAAAGTCCGAGGGATATTGGCAATGGTGTTTACATAGTATGAGGTCACCAATGCAATGGACTAAGACCGAGGTGGAGTCAAAGTCCGAGGTAGGGACTGTGACGGAGGCTCGGAGCAAAGGTACGAGCGGTGTCCGAGTACGAAGTACAGGACAGCGGTGGAAGGTCGTAACTTGGCAGGAGACCGGCGGAGGAGAACCAGAGGGAGGAGAGAGGAGAAAGGTAAGGAGAAGGAGTGGCGGAAAGGAGAGTTGTCAGGTCCAAAGGTGAGTATCGGAGCGGACGGGGGAAGTGTAGGAGGGTGATGGGAGGGTGGAAGTGTTGTGAAGGAGGAGCGGAGTAGGAGGAGGAGAAGTAGTAGGAGGGTGGCGAGAGGGGCGGTGTTCGGTCCGAGGTGAGTATCGGAGCGGACGGAGATAGGGGAGGAGAGGGAAGGAGGAGTAGAGGTGGCGTGGGGGGTAGAAGGAGGTGTGTTGCCAGGACCGAAGGTGAGTATCGGAACAGCAGCGGTAGGGTATGACTCCGGAGGTGAAGAGGGTGGAGGTCCGGAAGTTGGGTTGGGGTCGGGTATGCACGGATATGACACTGACCACAAGAACCTCGAGTATTTCTCCACCACCAAACTCTTGACCCGGCGGCAAGCCCACTGGTCGGAGTTCCTCTCCCAGTTCCACATGACTGTCCGATTCCGTCCCAGAAGACTCGGAGTAAAACCAGATGCGTTGACTAGACGCTGGGACGTCTATCCCAAAGAAGGGGATATGGACTACACTCGCGTCAATCCGCAGAACTTCCGACCAGTCTTCACTTCGGAGCAGCTCACTGCATCCTTACGAGCCACATTCCTAGCTGCCACAGTAATCCGAGCAGCCATACTTGTCGACACAGAGGCTCTCCATCGAGACATTCTAGCCTCCCTCTCCTCTGACACCACATTCTCTTCTCATCTCGCTTCCCCTAACCTCCCCAATTCCCACTGGTCCATTGATGCCGAAGGCCTGTTAAGGCTGGATCACCGCATTTACGTTCTGGATTCCAACAATCTCCGTCTCCACATTTTGCGAGACAAACATGACCACCAACTTTCCGGACACTTCAGTCAAAACCGGACTCTGGATCTAGTACGTCGTGAGTATACCTGGCCAGGCATCTGTAACTTCGTCAAAAGTTACATCTCCTCATGCACTTCCTGTGCCCGTGCCAAAGTTCCCCATCATAAGCCTTACAGCTTGCTCAAACAACTCCCCATCCCCGAACGTCCTTGGAACTCCATCTCCATGGATTTCATCGAACAGCTACCCTCCTCTTCCAGATTCACTTCCATCTTGGTCGTCATGGACCGCCTGTCCAAACAGTGCATTTTCATTCCTACCCATGATACCATCACCTCTCCGGAACTGGCCAAGCTCTTCCTCCTCCATGTGTTCTCCAAGCATGGAGTCCTTCCCACATCACCTCCGACAGGGGTCCGGAGTGTGTCTCTCATTTTTTCCGTTCACTTGGTAAAGCCCTCGACATCTGCCTCCACTTCACCTCTGGTTATCATCTGGAAGGAGACGGTCAGACCAAATGGATGAACCAGACACTCGAGCAGTACCTGCACATCTACAGTAACTACCAGCAGGACAATTGGTCCGAACTCCTGCCTCTCATGGAGTTCGCATACAACAACGCTCCAAATGCCACCACAGGCGTCTCTCCATTCTTCGCCAACAAAGGCTACCATCCGAACATCACTGTTCACCTGGAGCAAGACCTAACATCAGTACGTGCCCAGGAGTACTCTGTAGACCTCAACTCCCTCCATCACTTCCTTCGCAAGGAAATGCATCTCGCTCAGATCCGTTACCAGGGCCCGTGTCATATCCATTCCTGGCCATCGACTTCCGGTCCCTCCGATCCCTCCGTTCCAACTCTGCTCCTCCCTCACTAACCTCGGAGCCCCCGTATTCCGCAATCCTCTCGGTACCCCTCGATGGTCACCACCCCCTCATTTCAATTTATTACCTATGCCTCCCTAAGTACGGAGCCCCGAAGACTTCCGGACAGCTCCGACGTCCGCTAGCGCACCCCCGCCTCTGCTGGGCAATACACTCACCTGCCCTGCAGAGTCCACCTTCGGGCTTATCCCTCCTTTCCGTTTCTGGGTTATCGCCTGCCTTTCCGCTAACCCTGCGAACCGACTCGTCGGTAATATTCAGTCGGCTAATGGTTAAACCCCATTAGCTCCGCTCCGTTCAGCTCCGCCAATTGCGGAACCGTCTCCGCTGTAACCATATATATATCCCACTTGTACATAGGTTACGCCCCAGTAGAAAAATCAACTAGAGTTACCCCCCTAGGTTCTAATTGCCAGTCAGTAAGTTAGGGCACAGACATGTCACTAGGCACAGCGCTCTTGGCAGAAGTCGCTGAGGCCAAAGCCCTCCGCTACGGAGACATTCCTTTGTCTCGAATCTGGTCTCTGACAATAAGGATCTCACTACAAGTCAGGTCTGAAGTGGGGTATATTGGTCCTCTAGAGTGTGGTGCTGATAACTCTCTATCAAACTGTACAGCGGGTCACGGAAGAGTCTGATAGACAAAATAGGAAAGAATATCACATGACAATAAGAAAATGGAAACATTGGCCTCTAAACATTGGAAATGGAATCGGAAAAATTAGGAAAAATAGGAAATGTGTGTAAAGAGTGTGAGGGAATATAGGCTACATGTGATGGATGTGAGGTGCTTGCTGAGGGTGGTAGAATTGCGGGATTTGGCTCGTTTAGGGTACACCAGCAAATCCCCATTACAACATCTGTGGGTATTGTCGTGGGATTGGTATGTTTGAAAGGAAAAAGATAAGAAATCCAACCGAAAAGTCGCTAAACTAAGGGAAACAGGGCACATAAGACAAAAGAAACAAGCACATGCCATGAAAGCCACAGACCCAGGAAGAAGGGCAATCTTGGGGGGCACGACTAACCACCTGGCAGGATCAAAACCCTGCCCCACCCACCGCACCAGGGCGGGGCCTACTAAGTAGGCTCTCAGAGAGGGATGAGGCCCAGACACACCTTCCGGCAGCAAAGACACCCCCAAACCAAATCAACTAGAAAAAAAAAAAAAAACCCTGACAAAGTCGAAACTGTACATCTATCCCAGCCCCAACCAACCCACACCACAACACATGCCCCCCCTGAACTCGTTAAAACCCTAAACCCATATGCAACATGAGCCATGTAGTAAGCCCAGATGCCTATCACAAACTGCCCAACAAATGACCCAGCCCACCCAAGAACTAGCTCAGGCACCAAAAGAAACAGAGGCAGCTCAAACACCTCAAACACCTCCAACCTCCTAGCTCCCCCCAAGAAGGAAGCAAGGATGACGAGAACCAGCTCCAAAGAAACAACAATGGCCCCTATGGAACTGGGAAACGAGGACCAATCAACCCCCGATCCCAAAACAACAATCAGAGACCCAGCCACACCAGCCCCAGGCCTAGTTGAAACACCCAACAACACCATGACCGACTTTAATGTCCACCCACTCCCAGAGGGCTTCGACCACCAGATCCTAGGCCTCAACAGCATGCACCTCCACCTAAATGTCTTGAAAGGAGCCATCGACGCATGGGAAGACACCATAAACTGTGCCATAATCATAATCCCAATCTTCATGGCATTCTCCAGGGCCAAAATGGGTGAAGCCAAAGACTATGCCACCACCTTCATCAGCTGTGCCTTCCTGGCATCAGCAAACACTCTCTGCACTATCCCAGTGGCCAATGAAATAGAGGAATGCAGTGATGACCCCCTCCCATGGGGCATAATGATTGAAGGTCTGACCTACCAAGATGCTGCGATACTGTCAGGGACTCGTCCGGGGTCAAGGGGGCCCGGGTGTAGCGTCTGGGGCTGAGAGCCTGGCAGGGGGCTGTCAGGGGATGGACCCCGGGTCCCCATGACCCCTCTCTCTATAGCCCACAGCCTAATCTGTAACAGCCTAGTCTCAAGGCACAACTGCTGTGGGTAAGAAAGTGAGAAGAAGGTTAACTTCTCACTTTCCCACAGTGGCCCCAATATGGCGAAAACTTCCGGGGATACCCGGAAGTCACATGAAGGTAGGATCCGGGGACCGGAGCATGCAGCACGGGAAGCGCGCGCGGGAAGTGGAGCGGGTCCGGATGCGGGTCCGGGTCCGGGCTAAGTCAGGGTATGTGCCCTGACAGGGGCGGATCGGGCGTGCGTACTGACAGGCCCGATGCGGGACAGTGGTCCCTGGCCACTTAGACTGAAGTGGAAAGTTGAGAAGAAGGCTACTTCTTCGGTTCCCACTTCAGGTTTGTTTATATACATGTGGCTTAGATCACATGACGGGTGCCACGTCACCCTTGCACACAGCCATAACCACCCGGGTATCTCCGTGGGAGATCCCAAGGGCATCCGGTGCAGGCGCGCGTACTGGGCACAGTGGGAAGTTGCCCAAGGTGCCCAGGCCAGGTACATGGTGGGCGCGCTGCAGATGGGTCAATGGTACATTGATACAAAGAAAGTCGTCCATGTAGAATAAAGAGAGAATAAAGAAGAAGTAAGATAGGGAGAAAGTGAGGAGGGAAGAATGAGGAGGGAGGAAGGGAAAGGGGGAGGAGGTAAGGAAGGGTGGACAGCGGGGTACCGGGTCAGGTTGGGCTGGGTGGAGCCGGGTCAGGCGGGTGTGCCCTGACAGATACTACACCACCAGCTTTGGTTCTCGAAAATCTTCAGCTTCTCAGTGCACCCAGCAACCGACTTCACATCCAACTGGCTCAGAAACTAGGATTTTGCTGCCACAGCCAAGGACATGTCTGCCACCCTCAAATGCCTAAAAGCCACCTTGAGCCGCCCAGACACCACCATAGGAAGATACCTGGCAGAAAAGGTCCCAGACCAACTAGAACAATATGCCATCATTGACTCCGCTCATGTCTGACCAATGAACGTCACCACAATGGGTAAAACAGCCATCCACTGGGCCTTCCTAGCAAAGTCCCCCCACCCAAAAGACATCGCAAACGGCGTTAAATGCAACCCCCCCAAACCATGCAGAGGCTGCAAGGGCCAAGACCACTTGACCCTCCAATGCCCACTCATGGACCTACTGTTCTGGCATGAAATTCACCCCACTGGCAAACCAAATGGTAACACCTGGTCCAACCTTGAAGCCACTCTGGCCTTGGAACTGACCGGAAATCACAACACCGGCAGCACCGAAAACCTAACCATGAGAGGAAGGGGAACAATCCAAGGAACACCAAGAGGCAGAGGTGGAAGACCTAGTAGCACCCACGGCACCAGAACCAGAGGCCCTAGGGGCAGACACCCAATGTAAATAACCTGCCCACTGTTAGGTACCGGATCAACGGCCCAAGGAACAAGGCCCTGGGGGGTTGGGCTTCGGCCTCAGTGACTCTGAAGGAGCGCTGTGCCCACCTACTGTCTCAGTGCCCACATTTCAAGGTGACTTGAGGCTGCCTTGTTAGGGGGGACAAACCTAGTCGATATTCAGACTAAAGCTATACTAATGTATTATACATTGTATATATAGTCAGAGGAACTGAATGGGTCAGGTGATGAATTAACAAAAGAACACAGAACAAGGGTCGGCATCCGGGTCAGAATGCATGGTCGTGACACCCACCCCCCATAAAAACATGTCCTCCTGCGAGCCCTCACTCACTCAAGAACCTAGTCAGGTTCTCAAAAACTGACTAACACACTAAACATGAATAAGTACAATACAATAACAACAATTCCGGCCCCTCTAGAGATCCCAAGGAACCTGGAGGGGAGCATGGCGAAACCAGTGCCACCTGGTAGTGCTGTCCGGCATACCAGCACCAAACCATGAGGTCCCCCCCTACTCACACTAGGAGGTAGAGGGGCCACAACAGTAATCCTGCCTCACCCCCCAGGCCTTGGCCATGGTGGGCAAGAGGGCGAGTACTAAGCGAGCTGTGGCACAAACAAGACAAACTAGACAAAAAACAAAACCAGCCAACCCTGCAAACCCAGTACCCCTCCCCCCAGAGCTATCTCCAACCCAACAAACATACCCCTGAGACTGAGAGGTGGGATGAACCCACCACCACAAACCAGCCACATAAAAGGCACCAACAGCCACAACACAAAAAACAAATGGAACCTAATAATGACCAAAAAGAAAAAAGAAAAACTAGCCATACTGTGCCTATCTGTCAGGGGACGACTCCCGGGTCCCCATGACCCTCCCCTATGGTCCACAGCCTCTGGTCTGGCCAGCCCTATCCAGGGCACAATCCTACTGTGGGTAAGGAGATGAGAAGGAAGCTAACTTCTCATCTTCCCACAGTGGCCACAATATCAGCAAAACTTCCGGGGATACCCGGAAGTCACATGAAGGGGTAGGAACCGGGTCCGGAGCATGCGCGCATGCGGGAAGCATGGCAGGTGGATGCGGGTCCGGATGCGGGTCCGGGTCCGGGCTAGTCAGGGTGTGTGCCCTGACACTATCTGAGACCCACACCAATGAAACCCAAGAGCTATACCTGAACAACAGATACAAAACAACACACCAAATACTACACACATACAACCCGGACCACACAATAGTGGGCAGGGTAGCAATAATCCTAAACAAGCAAATAATAAAATCCACCCCAACCCACACAGAAAACCTGATCCCAGGCAGGGCAATACTAACAAACCTAAAATGGACACCAGACAACCAACTAAGCATCCTAGCGGTGTATGTGCCAAACATAACCCACTCCGGCTGAGAAAATGCGGAATTCTGGGAAAATATAAACCACCTCACAACCAACATAGAGATCAACATTATGATAGGGGACTTTAACATGGTTGAAAATGCACTAGACAGACTCCCCCAACACCCAGATGCAGACATTGCAATCGAGGCCTTACAAAAAATAACAAACACTCATCAACTGAGTGATGGATGGAGAATAACAAACCCACCACCAACCCAGAATTTCACATTCAGACATTCCACTGCAAACTACATGTCAAGAATTGACAGAATATATGCAGACGACAACATCCTGGACAGAGCCTTCACCTGGGGAAACCACGAACACACAACAAAAGTTCCAACACCTCATCCTTGTTAGAGACCGGAGCAAGACGAAGGAGTCGTCTCCGTGGCAGAGGGCTTCGGCCTCAGCGACTCAGACCAGGAGTGCTGTGCCAAGTTACATGTCCATGCCCTAATTTACTTACTGGCAACGAGAACTAAAAGGGGGATCAACTCTAGTCGATTTTATCACTGGAGTGTAACCTATCTACAAGTTAAGTATATATAGTTACATCGAGGCAGGCCCGTGAATGGCAGGACCGAGCAGAGCGGAGCTAACGGAGTTAAACATTAGCCGACTGAATATCACTGACAAGTCAGGTTATGGGGTTAGCAGAATGGCAGGTGATAACCCAGAAACGGAAAGGAGGGATAGGCCCGAAGGTAGACTTGCAGGGCAAGCAAGTGAATTTCCCTGTGGGGGTGGGAGTGCACTAGCAGACATTGGAGCTGTCTGGAAGCCTTCGGGGCTCCATACTTAGGGAGGCGTAGGTAATATATTGAAGAGAGGGGGTGGTGACCATCAAGGGAGTCAGAGGTGATTGCGGAATACAGGGGCTCCAAGGTTAGTGAAGAAGGAGTGGAGGTAATCTGGAAGGATCAGAGGTAGTGGAAGACGATGGCCGTGGATGGATATGACAATCCTAACCATTACACATCTGGCAAAAAACTCAAAAAGATAAAATCAGGAAAAATGAACTCAAAAATCAAAAAACCCACGAATAGACATGAATGGATCATAACAAACCTCGACCCCCATGACCAAATAAAACTCCAGACCAACCAAAAAAGAATCCAAAGCCTGACGGAGAAAATTAACGAAATAGGAAAATGTCAAAAACCCTGAATGAGGGTAATGTGCATGAGTCCAAATGCAGGCAGGGCTCATCTAGACGGAATCTGAGAGCTCCAGTAGTGAACCAAAGCTTCTCCAGGAAGCCCGAGTCTGCTGGGTGGTACAAGAGGCTCTAAGAAGGATGTGGCCTCAGCGACTTGGAGGGAGCACTGTGCCTCCGTTACATCTCAGTTAGTCCTTTTATTTCATGTGTCTGAGGTATCTTGTAGGAGGAGGTCGGGATTCACTCATAGAGGGACTTGGGGTAACTTTTAGTCGAGATTAGAACTGAGGTACAATGGGTTCTAATCTACAGGTATATATAGAGGGAGGAGGAGAAGGACTTTAGTCAAAGTCCAAGTGATAATGACAAACACCAAAAGGTGCTGAATGATACCAAAAGGTACCAAAGGTCCCGAACAATATCCTTAATGGGGAACCCAGGTGTCAGGTCGAGGGGGGCGGAGTAGAAGGCTGGAGGATAAATGGGAACGAGAAATGGGTAAGAGGAAGTTAGCCGACTGAATGAAAAGAAGACAACAGTCGTACTACAAATGGGAGGTGACTACTTTATGATGACGTGAGCAGGGTCACTGGAGGATGTGGGTAGCTCCGAAGCCGGAGTTACATATCCAAAGGATGTTGGGTGACTCCACTGAATGAAATGGGAGGGGGAATGGTTTAGAGGTATGTCACACAATGTCAGAGATCCGTCAGGAGGTCAGAGCAAATCCAGAGTCTCTGAATGTTCTGACTCAGGGCCGAGCTTCCGGGATGGGAGTGACCAAGGGCGAGTGTGCCAAAATCCAGGCTGGAGCTGAGACAGTTGGGGAGGGAGGTGACGTTGGGAAGTGGGGGGGTATGGTGTAGGGGATGACGAGGTTGTTAGGAAGGTGTAGTGAGGTGGGAGAGTGTGGGGTTGGGATTCCAGGATATGACAGAAAACACTGATATGACAAAATAAAAGCACACACCA